TGGGGACCCTCAAGTGAGTCGTCATCGTCGTCGTCGTGTTCGGCGCCCTTCGAGGGAGGCCCCGGCCGCTCCTGGAGCTCCAACTGCCACCGTCATCGTCGTCGTCTTGCTTGGGGTTCCTCAAGGGCGTTGCATCGTCGTCGTCGTACGTGGCGCACTTCGAGGGAGGCCCCGGCTGCTCCTGGAGCTCCAGGAGCTATCATCGTCGTCGTCGTGTGTGGGGCCCGTCAAGAACGTCGTCATCGTCGTCGTCGTGTTCGGCGCCCTTCGAGGGAGGCCCCGGCCGCTCGTGGAGCTCCAGGAACCATCGTCATCGTCATCGTCGTGCTTGGGGCCCCTCATGGGCGTCGTCATCGTCGTCGTCCTGTGTGGCGCCCTTCGAGGAGGCCCCGGCCGCTCCTGGAGCTCACCGCCGTCGTCGTCGTCGTCGTGCTTGGAGCCCTTCAAGGGCGTCGTCATCGTCGTCGTCGTGTGTGGCGCCCTGCGAGGGAGGCCCGGCCTCTCCTGGAGCTCCAGAAGCCACCGCCATCGTTTTCGTCGTCGGGCGCAGTCGTCATCGTCGTCGTCGTGTGTGGCGCCCTTCGAGGAGGTCCCTTCCAGGAGGTCTTGGCTGCTCCTTGCGCTCCAGGAGCCTCCGTCATCGTCGTCGTCGTGCCTGGGGCCCCTCAAAGGCGTCGTCATCGTCGTCGTCGTGTGTGGTGCCTTGAAGCGCGTCAGTCGTGTGTGAGGCCTTTCGAGGAAGAACTGGCCGCTCATGCAGCTCCACGAGCCACCGTCATCGTCGTTGTCGTGCTTGGGGCCCCTCAAGAGTGTTGTCATCGTCGCCGTCATGTCTGCGACCTGAGCGTGTCGTCAAACATCCCCACGAAGGCACTTACCTAACCCGCTGGGCGACCAACCCATGACAAACTGAACGCCAATCCGACTGGCAAGGGGCGACGGCCGTCCCTGGGAGCGGGAGGAGACCCCCTGCGCTGCGCGCTGTCTGCGCGTGGGAACCCGAAACCGCCGGACTTGGGAAACGCGCGCGCGCACATAGCGCGCAAGACAAATCATACAAACGAAAAACAATATAAACAAATTTTGCGAGCGGTGGGAGACTCCCTGCGCTGCGCGCTGGCTGCGCGCGGGGACCCGAAGTTGCTGAGCCTGTGCGAGACGCGCGCGCGCACAGAACCCGCGCGGAAGTCAAACCGTGCAGAACACTAATAAAATAACACACACGCGCACACTCGCGCCACGAAGACACCGACGACGACGAAAGGCATGACACACAACGTTTCAGAGACTACGAGGACGATGAAGACGAATCCGTCAGGCTCCAGCCTGGCCGAGATGCGCAGACGCTGGCGCACGTCTCCGTCGTGCGTCATCTCGTCTTCGTGCGTCGATGAGCAGCAGACGCACACAGCAACGTTTCCGAAGACACGAAGTCTGGCTGTCAGAATTGCGTGGGCGTTTTCGGTTGCACAAGCATCGACGCCTTCGAGCTCCTGGCGAGGCGACTCTGCAAAATTGAGTGTGTAAGCTTTCGCGGAGTGCCACCCTGAGGCGAGCAAGTACTGCCTGGCTGAGCCTCCTCCTTGCCTGCCGAAGGGTGGTTCTCTGTGACGAATCCCGCTGCTGCGGAGAAACTCTCGGCCTGCCGTCCCGCAGCGGAAGACGAGGTCTCTCACCTTCTGTATCTGTAACTAGTTTGGCTCAAGCTCCCTGCTCCTGCTTCCCTGCTCTCCGCGGCGGAATGAGCGAGCACTACCCCTCTCCACGCCCCGCGCGGCTCCTGGCGCGCCGCGGCC